TCTACCACTGAGCCACACCCCAGCCCCTCACTGGGGGATTCTAGGCAGGGGCTCTACCACTGAGCCACACCCCAGCCCCTCACTGGGGGATTCTAGGCAGGGGCTCTATGAAATAAAAATAAATAAATAAAAATGAAGGATATGACTTCTCCTAGGTATGGTGGAGGAAATTTATTATATATCTGAAGGAGAGCATAGCAAGAGGCAGGGACATCTGGGAGAGTCCAAAGTGAACATGACCCTGAGCAGGACCATGTTGGGGAGAGGGGGTGGTGGAGATGGGAGAGGTAGGAGAGTAAAAGGTAAGTGAAAAGATGGGTAACCAAAACAGCTGATTATATAGAGAACTCTGCTGAGGGGCAGAACAGCCCAGGCCCTGGGCTGGAGAAGTTTAGGGTAGAGGGCAGGGTATACCAACCGTACCCACCCTATAACAGGTAGTGATGCTGAGAGAACCTGGCAGCCAGGTCTGTTTTGATATGTTAAATAGGCACCTCAATTAGCCATTTTTTATCCAAGTTTGAGACCTAACTCTCTACTGTTTAATTACATCCCCAGTCCTACATTTTTAAACACAGGGTCTATTTGTGTAGCCCAGGGTGACCAGGGTGACCTTGAACCCCTCCTCCTCCCCACTTCTCCTCCAGAGTGCAGGCTGGCATTGCAGGAGTGCCTGGTAGTTGTTCCTTTTTTTTTTTTTTTTTATGCTGGGGATTAAATTTTAGCTTTACTAAGCCAAGTCCCCAGCCCTGGGGCTGTTCTCTTTTTCAATTTTTATGGAATTTCCCCACGCCCAGCAAAGGTGCGGCGCCAACTGTCTCCAGCATGGTTGCTCAATCCACTGAGGGTCTGTTCTCATCAGACTTGGTGGGGCCAGACTGATGGATGCCCGGGGCTACCCCTGCATGCAGAGCTCTGATTGACTGGCCCAGCCTACATCTAGCCTTGACCTGATGTGGAGGTCAATACCCACCAAAGGTGGCCACGTAGGTGTTCCCTATCATATATGTCCTTCGAGTAATAGGATATTGTCATCGTCCTATCAGAAGGGGTCTGTATTTCCCACACTTGGATCTAGGGACCCTGTGGGGATACTGTAGCACCCCGGAGACTAGGGCATTAAGAGAGATAGTTCCCAGCAAGCTCTGAGGTCTTAGTCCCTTGCTGAGAGGAAGCCTAGGTGGTCTGGAAGAGCCTGGTGTAGAACACTAACTGTCTAAGGACATAGCCATGCTCCCACAGTCAGCCTGAGTGGGCTGGTCTAGTGGCCATGAGTTCTTTCACACAACCACGAGGGCTTGAGTTTGAATCTCTAACATTCACATAGAAAGCCAGGCATGGGTGTGCATGCCAGCAACCCCACAACATGCCAGCAACAGAGACAAATGGATCTTGAGAACTTGCTGGCCAACCAACTTTGCCAAAAACGATGACCTTTCAATTCAGAGAGAGACTCCACCTCAAAACGATATGGAAGAAGATGCTTGGCATCCTTCTCTGGTTCCCAGACGTGTACACACAGCCACACACACACACACACACACACACTCAGTAGGGTGGTGCACACCTTTGATCACAACACTTGGAAAACCAGCACTTCCAAGGCACAGGGAGGCAGAACTCAGTGAGTTCGAGGCCATCCAGAGCTACATAGTGAGAATCTGTCTTAAACCAAAATTAAAATCAAAACCAAAACGAATAACAATGCAAAAGTGCTCAGACAATGCAGTTTCCCAGGAAAGGCAGGTTAAAAGCGGCTGTCACGGCCCAAGCGGCCGCTTGCTTGGTTCTTGGGGATGCCTGGCAGAGGTTCTGCCACCCCAGGGACAGAGATGTCTTTTTATTTTATGAGGAAAAGGGCTGCTTGCTGAGTTGTAAAAACCACCATTGTTCACAGCTTAGAAAACATTAATGAATAACTCAGTGTGTGGCCCCTGGTTCGAGGCATGGGAAAGGTGTGAAAGACCTGTTTCTATCATACGAACAAAGTACAGTTCTTCTGGAGACTCTCCACAACTCCTCTCTCTCTCTCTCTCTCTCTCTCTCTCTCTCTCTCTCTCTCTCTCTCTCTCAATCTCTCTGTTGTGTGTGTGTGTGTACCCCATGCACATGTGGAAACCAGAGGAGGACATGGGGTGTCCTGCTCTATCTCCCCATCTTATGACAGGGTGTTTGCTGAGCCTGGAACCAGGCTGGCAGCCAGCAAGACCCACCCTTTACAGTGCTGGGATTAGAGAGGCCTATGAAGCCCAGTCTGGCTTTTTTTTTTTTTTTGTGGGCTCCAGGGACTTGAACTCAGGTCCTTATGTTGATATAGTAAGTGTCCTTGTCTGCTAAGCTCATATCCCGGCTCCCAGGCCCCTTCTTGAGAGGTAATCTGACGCAGAGCTGGAATGGGCTTTCTGGAGGTTTGGTAGGGAAATATCATTCCTCCATAGGGCATGCTGTAGGTCTGGACACAGGAAGCTAAATCCAGCCTCCCAAACAGGAAGCCAGGATGGGATCCAGCAAGAAGACCAATGGGTGCCTGTGGAGGAGGGAAGTCCAGCAAGATAGAAGAGTAGAAGAGGGTGAGTGGATCTACTGGCCAAGCACCTCTCTGCAGCCCCTGGGAATTGCTTTTGCTACTGGACACTGGAAGTGTTAGTGATTGTGAGATCTGTCAAAGAACTGGAGAGAGAGAGAGCTGGTCACAAGGAGCTGCTATGAGCGCGTTGATCCATCTCACTGCCAGGGCCTAGCATGGTGTGGAAATATAGCATCCGTGTGTGGCCAAGATGGAATGATGGCCAGTGTCCTACAATGACAGCCAGTGCAGGGAGGCGGGAAGCGAATGGTCTTCTGTGTCTCCAAGCTGAAAAGCAGGGGTGCTGGACACAGGTGTTATCGCCATAACAATAGCAAAGACTCAGTACAGTGCACCCCACTACCATAGAATAGTCCTCCCAAATCCACGTGGCACAATCCCAGCCCCCAGGAACTGATGGCCTCTTTTGAAATCATGTTGTGGCAGATGTAATCAGCAGAGGTTAAAGTCGTTGGGGTGAGCTGAGCATGGTGGAGTACAGCTTCAATCCCAGCACTGGGAGGCAGAGGCAGGCGGAGCTCTGAGTTCAAGTCCAGCCTGGTCTACAGAGAGTTCCAGAAGTGCTAAGGTTATGCAGTGAAACCCTATTTCAGAGAGAGAGAGAGAGAGAGAGAGAGAGAGAGAGAGAGAGAGAGAGAAGAAAAAAGAAAAAGACAGAAAGGGGGGGCTAGAGAGATGACTCAGAGGTTAAGACCACTGGCTGCTCTTCCAGAGGTCCTGAGTTCAATTCCAGAAACCACATGGTGGCTCACAACCATCTGTAATGGGATCTGATGTCCTCTTCTGGTGTATCTGAAGACAGCGACAATGTACTCATATAAAGAAAATAAAAATAAATCATAAGAGAGAAAGAAAGAAAGAAAGAAAGAAAGAAAGAAAGAAAGAAAGAAAGAAAGTTAGTTAGTTGTTGGGATGGCCCTACACCAGTGTGGCAATGTCCTCATAAAAGGAATACTTGTATACAGAAACATGGGGAGGGTGCCGCCAGAAGTGGAGGCCCAAGAAGGACATTGTTTCTAGTAGCCCAGAATTACCTAAAATTGACAGAGCACCTCAGAGGCTGGGGGAGAACCTGGGCTCCCTGGAGCAGACAGCAGGGATGGCAGTCCACAATAGGGCTAATGACCAACACCTTAGAATCAGACTTCTGGTCTCTTGAGCCATAGAAGATGCCCTTTGAGAAGATTTTGTTTTGTTTTGTGGGACTGGGTCTTGCTACATAGCTCAGGTTTGCTGAAAACTCAGACAATCCTTCTGCCTCAGACTCCCAAGCGCTGTCTACATGTATGAGGCAGTATACCCTGCTTTATTTTCTGTTTGTAAAATCACTGTTGGTAGCAACACTCGCAGTCGGCTAATCACCTCTCCGTTAGTGTGCTTCTTTCCTTGATTAGACCCTCTGAGTGGATGGGAAACTCAGTCCCTGGCAGACAGATGTTTAAGATGAAGATCCCGGGGCACAGACTGGTGTTCTCGGGCAAATGGCTGCATCTTTCTGTCCTTATTTGCTAATCAGGCGTCTGCTTGTCAGAGGGCTGGAAACCAGGGTCAGGTCCTTTCGCGGCACGGCGGGGGCGGGGCTAAATGGGTGAGGCGGGCTTGGTGGGTGGGGCCTGGGAGGACTGGGGGCGGGGCCAGTCGTCCGCTCGACCAGCTCGGCGCTTCCTGGACCCGCTCGGTGTTCAGCCTTCTGCCCTGCGTCGCCAACGCTCTCCTCTCCGCTGTTGATTTCGCCGTGATGTCGACCGCAATGAACTTCGGGACCAAAAGCTTCCAGCCGCGGCCCCCGGACAAAGGCAGTTTCCCGCTGGACCACTTCGGTGAGGCTCGGCTCGGCTCGGGCTGCTGACGGTCTGGAATTGGGTGGCAGAGTTAGGGGTACTGAATCTGGGTGGCAGCGTCTAGGGTGCTGAGTCTGCGTGGTAGGGAGTGCTGTTTCTCGGTGACAGGATCGGGGTATTGGAACTGGGTAGCAGGATCTGGGACACTGGTTCTGGATGGGAGGGTCGGGGTACTGGGTTTGGGTGATAGAGTTATGGGTGCAGGATATCTGGGTGGCAGGGTCAGGGGTACTGGACCTGCGTTCAGGGTTTGCTGGGTTTGGGCTGCTGAGTCTGGGTGGCAAAGTCTGGAGTGTTGTTTCTTTGTGATCGATGGCAGGTTTGGGGGTAGAGGTTTGGGTTTGGGTGGTAGGGCCTGAGGTACTAGATTTGAGTGGCCGGGTCAGAGATGCTGGATTTAGGTGCAGTGTCTGAGGAGTTGGATGTTGGGTGTGACAGGGCCTTGGGTGCTGGATTTAGGTGGTCAGGTCTAGGGTGCTGGATCAAGGGTCTGAGAGCCAAAGTGGAGGAGCCGGATATGAGGGACAGAGTGTGGGGTAATAGACCTGGATGGCGTTGTCATGTGTGTTGGATTTAGGTGACAGGATGCTAGATCTGGTGGGTGGGGTCTGAGGTACCGGACCTAAGGATGCAGAGCAGTTAATATTACAGGCCCTTCTCGGGTTGTGGGGCTGGGCATGATCAGAGCCCTGTGGGGGTGCAGTCAGAGAAACTGAGTCTTGACGATCTCTAGTTCAGAGGGCCACCTGTCATGTCCCTCCGACTAAGACTCGGGGCTAATGTGTCAGGGTGGTGACCCTGGAGCCGGGGCAGGGCGGGGCTTGGTGCTAGGCCCCCTGGGTCTGCAGTCAACATTATGCAAAGAAATAATTTCAGAAAGCTTTTTGATAATCTAATATAGGGGCTGAAAGCCAGGGCTTGGCACATGCTAGGCGAGTGCTCCACCTCTGAGCCACGCCTCCGGGACAGAGGGTTTCCAATCCCCGTTCTGAAGTCTATAGCTAACGTGCCATTTGGGAAACTGAAACATGTGAAAGAAAAAAAAAAAACTGGGAGAGAGTTGGAGATGCAGTTCAGAGGCTCCACGGACGCCTGGCACGCACAGGAACCTGAGTTCAGTCTCAGCACTACAATAATAAAAAAGAAAAGAGCCCCGCCCCCAAGCCTACCACAAGCAAGCTGTGCATGCGTGGCCGCTGTTCGTGTAGATTGTACACTTCTGTGAGCTGCTGTGGACATCCAGTTCCAGGGACAGCTTTAGAGATGACTGTATTCTTTAAAGTTATTTTATTTAGTGTGGTTTGGGGATGTGCCATGGCACAGGTGGTCAGAGGACAACCTGTGGGAAACCAGGGATCTCCCACCACCACGTGGGTCCTCGAGATCAAACTTAGGTTGTCAGTCTTGGTAGCAAGTGCCTTTACCCACTGAGACAGCTCACTGTTTTTAGATTATGACTTCTTTACCAACATTTCATTGGGAAATTTCCATTTAAAATTTTTATTTTAATTAATTAATTCTTCATTTTTTTCCCCAAGGCAGGGTCTCATTAACGTAGCCGTAGCTGTCCTGGAACTCGCTCTGTAGACCAGGCTGTACTCAAATGTGCAGAGATCTGCCTGCCTCTGCCTCCCGAGTGCTGGGATTAAAGGCGTGCACCAATATGACTGGCTTTATTTTAATTTTTAACTGTATATGTATGTGTGTGCATCTGAGTATGTATATACACCATATGTGTGCGGGTTCCCTTGGTGGCCAGAAGGGGGTGTTTGATGCCCTGGAGCTGGAGTTACAGGCATCTGTTAGCTGCTCAATGTGGGTACTGGGACCCACACTCAGGTCTCTGTAAGAGCAGCCAGTCTTCATAGCCAGTGAGCCATCTCTTCAGTGCCTTTGTTTTGTTTATTGTTTTGAAGTACAGAGACTTGAACCCAGAGGGCTGTATGCCAAACATGCATGGCCTCAGAGCCACACCACAGCCTCACAAGGGAACAAGCGTTCGTGGAAACCATAGCTCCTAAGGTCGGCTTGTGAGCAGGTCAAGCCTTCTCGACAGATAGGACGCTGTCTGTCTTTCTTTCCCCAGGTGAATGTAAAAGCTTTAAAGAAAAATTCATGAAGTGTCTCCGCGACAAGAATTATGAAAATGCTTTGTGCAGAAACGAGTCTAAAGAGTATTTAATGTGCAGGATGCAAAGGTGAGTTGTGTGTGTGTGTGTGTGTGTCTGTGTGTCTGTGTGTGTGTGTCTGTGTGTGTGTCTGTGTGTGTATGTCTGTGTGTGTGTATCTGTGTGTGTGTGTGTCTGTGTGTGTGTCTGTGTGTGTCTGTGTGTGTGTCTGTGTGTGTATGTCTGTGTGTATGTATCTGTGTGTGTGTGTGTGTCTGTGTGTGTGTGTGTCTGTGTGTGTGTGTGTCTGTGTGTGTGTGTCTGTGTGTGCGTCTGTGTGTGTGCGTGTGTGTGTCTGTGTGTGTATGTCTGTGTGTGTGTATCTGTGTGTGTGTCTGTGT